ATCCCAATCAACTTACTTTTTTCGAGCAACTAGCTATCCCAATTTATGAGAACTGGTCTTGAAAACGTGGTTCAACATGTTATTCATGTCCACATGTCCCGCCAGGAAATGGACCTGAACTTTGGCACCCGCTGTCCTTTCAACAGTCGCATCAATCGGCCCTTCTTTTTCCACGTGTGACCTGGTGATCAATGGGCGATTGGTGATGGTTCAAGGTTGAAATGGCATCCTGATTTTCTGCATAATGGTGATTCTCCCATCATGTTAAAGCATAATCCCAGCATTGTCCCAAGGTCCATCATTATCCCCATGGATTTTCAGGTCTTCTCCAGCCCCATCACTTTCCACCATGGGGATGATGTGAAAAAGGTCTCCATCAAAAATTATTCGGTTACCCCAAAATTTTCATGATTTGTTTACAACCCTTATATATATGTTTCCCTATGAAACTAGCAATGTGGCAACAGTTGGCAGTCTTATCTTGAACTTTCTACCCACAGATGATGGACTCGAGGCAAAAGACCAATGGCAAGCTGAGCCTCGTGGCAAAGAAAAAAGGTCCATGATGCGAAACCTGAAGATATGGGGCTTTCTTAAAATGGTGGATTCCCAAGTCACCATAGGTTTCAACATGTTTCAATAATAAAAATGGTCTGACTTGGATGATTTGGGGCTGAGTATATACAGGTGAAGAGCATGCCGGCTACAGGAGTTGAAGATTTGCCAAACAGACTTTAGTCGGCAATGATTGAGTTGGAATAGATCAATATAGAATAAGATTTGGGGTGCGAAAAGAATATATGGGCATGTTGGTTTTTCCAGCAACACATGCACCTGACACATTTTGCCCGTACAATGTCATTTAACTGTTCGTCACACTGTTTTGTATACTATGTGAATGTGGGTATAGCATGGTATAGGTATCATAAATATATTATGTACATTTGTATGTGTACCTATGACATGTATATAGACATATCATGTTGTTGTTCAATTGCATGATAGGTTTCAGTTTCTCAAAATCACATCCACACCAACACCCTCTCTCATATGTTTTGAGGGGGGGGCAGGGCGTCGCAAAAAATGGGTTTGTCCGGCATAATATGTGTGTGTGTGCCAGTGTGTCTATGCGTGTGTTCGTTTCTATATGTATACACATAAATCTGATATATATATATATATACATATCAATAATATCCTAAGTTTCTTTACCGGGAAGGTGTCATAAACCTTGAAAAAAGTTTGTGTGTGTGTCCGTCACACCACGTAAGGATTGCAATAATATAGTGTTCTTTGATGTTTTTGTCTATGATAGAATTATAAATATTACACATCTATTATATTGCTATATATATATCATGTATGTGAGCAAACACTGTCATATCTGTCATCTACATGAGTCTACATGTGCATTCAAAATCCCTAAAACTAGGTTACCCTCCGCCCTCAGATGTTTCTAGGCCTCTACTGCAACATCTTGGTGGAAGCTCGTTCCCTTGATCGGGATCGTCAGAGCCCTGGCTGCAAGGTGCTGACAAAAGCACGATCGTTAGGCTGACGTCGATATAGATGTGATTAATGGTTTTTTAATATCAATATAAATATAAATATATACATAGAAAATGGTTTATCAACAATATATTGTTATATAGTTGTTGGGATACAAACATAGCATACGTTTCCATATAATATGGGTAAGACAAGAATAAACCATCTCCCGGTCATCACCATTTTTTTAGGTGGTATGGTTACCATTCCCAAATGGGTGGTTTACTATTGTTTTAACCACATTGCTGTTATATAGATAATGGGTTATCAGTTTATCATTTTGTCATAATACAGATGTCCCCTATTCTTTGATGATACCCATTTTCAGATAGCCATGGATGAATGACCATGATACAAATATCGGGGGATACCCAGGCTTCATGGACAGCTGCTTCGCTGAGAAAAATGACAAACTTAACCTAGAACACACTTCCAAGAACCTGAAAATGAATGTTTGCAAAGATAAATCAGGACACTTGAGTGTTTTCCTATCATCAGAATATATGGTGTTTTCCTGTGTTTCCTGACTCACATTTCCCACACGTTTTGCCGTTCGGTTGACCTGTGCATAGGATGCTGTTGGGCCTTCAAGTCTTTCAGCAGCATGGTGATAGCCGCGCGCGCCTTGAGTCTCTTGGCAATGGTACTTTACGATTTTTTTTGGCTATGAGTCAAAACCCTGGCACCCCAGGTACCCTAAAATAGCTTCGCTAGCTTGGCTAATGGATGTTTATTCTCCAAAATATGGCAATTTCATAGGTTTTGACCCATCCCCGTTTTTTTTGCATCTATGTAGCATGAAATAAACCATTTTTTCGCAACCCCCAAAAAGATAGAACATGGCAAAATTTACAAATAATGGGATGGACAATATATATATATAGAAATGTTTTTATTTAGTCAACAAAAAATGAAGTATAATGATGAATATGATGGGGATATAGTGGTGATGTATGTAACATAATGGGGTTCACACTCAAAGTGGATACATGTGTAGTTAATTGGGGCTATGATAAATAACCAACTTAAAACTGGCGGGCCCACCTTGTGTATATTATATATATACATGTGTAGATGTATGTGTATATGTGAGGAGTTATCTATTTCTATAACATTATTTTTGGTATTCTTTTGGGTAAGGCAATCATCTATATGGGGATTATAATGGAAAATGGGACAATTATTGGACAATGCGGGGTAGTATAGGATAATACTGCGAAAATAGTGTGATTTGATTGGTTTGCATCCATGTCGGACTGTGGGATATTCACCAACGATAAACACTCGGGATATAGCTGATGCAACCAACACGTGGATGAGCTATGTTGGTGCGAACAACGCTAGAGTTTTGACTCATCCCCATATATATAAAGATAAGATGTTTAGAGATAGATCGGTGGACAAGACCATGTGGATAGACAAATAGATGTTGATACAAGTGTATATATATATATATATATGCGCAGATGAGGCACTTACCAATACTGGTTGGTGGTTTAGAACATTTTTGCCATTTCATATATGGGATATCATCCTTCGACGAATTCATATTTTTCAAGATGCTTATTGCACCACCAACCAGATTATTATGGTATAATATCCATCATTTATGGTTAATATAATATCCCACTATAATAATATATACCATTGTATATATATACCATTTTAATATCCATTGTATATACCATTATATATTTATATACCACTATAATGTTTTTTTATATACCATTATTATGGTACTATAAATATCCCATTATTTATGTGTGTAATAAACAGTGTACCCGCACGAGATCATCGGACGGAGGAGGTCACAATCAACCAGTGGGCCACCTTTTCCTCTGGTTATGACTGGTACAGTTCGCCATGGAAAATGATGGCCAAAATAGATGGTTTACCGTTCGCTATAAAATGGTGATGTTCTATAGCTGCATTAAATAAACAGAGGGTATATTCAACATGAAAAATGTCATAATGATAGAATGGCTATCAAACATATTTCTATGTGGCTTCATAGTGAAAAGTGTGATATCCACACAGGATTCACAACAACCATGAAAATCAATGAAACTAATATGTTTTCCATGCTAAAAAGTGAGACTCCATCACTACCAGTTGAAGCCGAAACAGCACCGGCAGCGTGCTGATTTCTGAGGCACCGTTCATGGAGGGAAGTGCCTGGGCCTTCATCGGATTTTTTCTGTGCAGAGGAATCGTGGTAGGGTAGACCATTCGTAAATGCTGATACTTGGATTGATGGTGGCTAGCATACTATGAATAATATCAAGCTTTGATTCGCAATATATATATATATACAATATTATAATATATATATACAATTATACATACAATTATATATTATTCTTGATCTGGCTTGGAAGTGCAGTTCCAGTGAGCTGAGTGGATTGATTTTGACCAAATCGCTTTTTGGGGGCTCCATATCCCAACATTTTTCCGGACTTTACTAGAAAAACCATGTGTATGTGTGTGTAACATCAATTGCACCCCCAAGTATAGTAGTGATAGATTTCAAACACCAACACCTCATACATTTGGATTATATGAGTGGGGATTTTGAATAGTAATGATTAGAATGGGATAAATCTTTCATAGTGACAATGAAGCGGATAATAATAATACTGAATTTGGGATTTTTCATTGTTTTTTTTCATAGTTCTGGTTGTTGTTTTGTGTAAAACATCTGGAAAGTCATCTGACGCTGGAACGATGATCCCATCTGATGTGAATTTCGGAAGGAGTTGTGAGTTGTCGCTGGTAACCAGGCAGTCAATTTACCACCAATAGGTTGTTTGGATGTCACCAAAACTTGCTGTTTGTCGCTAGATTAACACGACGTTGCCATGTTACATCATGTTACATTGTCATGATGTTTGGATTCTCCTGTGCAACAAATCCACGACCTCACTGCGACGTCACAGAAATGATTGCATTATGGGGGAATCATCCCCAAATGGCTGAACTTTTCTGGGTTTTTGAAGTATTGTATTAAATTCAGATGAGCAAAGTAGTTGACAATATGACAGGAATCATAAATCATGGATACTATTTGTTGATGATACTCTTAAAAGATCCCAGTCAAGAAACATGGGGTTCCACTCTTTCAACCCAAGAACATGGTGGGGGTGAAACTCAATATGTTCTATATATCTATAGGTTTTATAGTTAATCACTGGTCAATAACCACGGTTATTTTCCTCATTCAAGCGTAAGCCCATTTCAAGCGGCGACGAAACCGATCACTGCTCGGGCTGTGCTGAAATGTTTTGGAGCCAAATAGTTGGGGAGCATTTGGCATGTGCTTGCGAGTTGAATATGTGAAATTTCTATGTGTGATTTGTCTAATCCCTGTTTCTGATTGAATCTCCATAACTGGGCTAGTTCACATCATTTTTCCATAGATATTCCATGATCCATAGAATCATGATATATCCATTTAGAGATGTTTCATTCATAGATATTCCATTAATCCAAGATATCTCTGTTACCCTCTGGTAAACTAACATAGCTATGGAAAATCACCATCTTTCATAGGTAAATCAACTATAAATGGGCTATTTTCTATAGTTATTTTGACATAACCAGAGGGTATAGTATATGCCATGACATTCCCATGAAAATCGCAAAGGCAAACTCCAACGCCGCCACCGAGGTGACCAGCACCCGGCGCCACGTGAAATTTGGCGGCTTGGAGGTGGAGCAGAACACGGAGCTTTTCGTGGCAGCGTGGTGCTTCCGATGTCGCCGGAGCTGGGAAAATTCATGGGGATAGTGGAAAGATCCACCATTTTTACATGGGAAATTTCACGTGAAAAATGGTGATTTTCCATAGTTATGTTGAATTGCCAGAGGGTAAATGGGAAGATCATGGGGATATGATTGGGATATTCATATATATCCATGGAATATTGGATGTGATGCCCAAAAACCGGTTAACTTGAGGTGCCATGCTAGCTGTAGGAGATGTCTTAGTTGATCCTTAGTTCTTGCCCTTCATCAACAACCTTGTTGTTGTATGTTATTGTGTCTTTTACTACGGTGTGTATTTTGCTGGAGGGCGGCCCTGGCCCGCGGGCTGCGGAGGTAGTCATTGACTGGCGGCTGATTAATTTCTAGCAACCTGGAACCAGCCTTGACCTTTCCACCCTTCTCTCCAAATTAGTTCCCAAATTATCCAGCCCTGGAAGTGTCTCAACTTGAAATTCATATCATAATTTTTGCCCTTCAACTTTGGCACCCTCCATTACCTCCTGGTTCCCCATATCAACTGTCGAAATCCTACCTCCAACCCTGGAAACCTCCAACCCAGGGTCTTCATGTGCCAAGGTAGCAACACTACCCGCAGGCGTTTTCTCCCTTGAGATGTCGCCCCTTCCTGCGTTGTGAGATCGTGAGAAAAAATCCAACGAGCTTTGGAGATTTCACAGTTGTGGGCATCTCAGCATCTGAAATGATTCAAATGGCAATATGTCCCTGGAAAACAAAAAATACGTCGAGGTCACAAAGTCCATTTCAGAAAACGAATAGCAAGTTTCAAGTTTCATCCCCGAAACCCATTGTGCCTTTGCAACCCATTAATTCATGCATGCCGCGCCGCGCACCCGGAAAAAAAACAAGCAGAGCTGGCGAGACACCGCCCTGCTGGAACCAGATGAATGAAGTCCATTTTTCTTGTTACATTTTCCTGTAGAAATCATTCGAAATCATAGAATTTGCTGGGGTTCCATATGTTCCATGTCATGTCTCCTTGGTTGACTCGACCAGGGCGGATGGAGCGACTCAACAGACGTGTTTCTGGACATCCCCTAGCGGATATCTTTATGGCTAGCCAGCTGATTCTGGGATCAGGTTTGCTGAAAATCACATATATATATACTGGTTGGTGGTTTCAAACATTTGGATTATTTTCCATAATGTATGGGATGTCATCCTTCCCATTGACGAACTCATATTTTTCAAGATGGTTATTGCACCGCCAACCAGCCAGTCATATCATAATTCGTATTAGAGTGTGATGGCCAAAGGTTGTGGCGTTTGGTCACTCGGAAAAAGTTCAGCCAGATATAATTTGATCATTTAAATCGATTTAGTTTTGGTTTTCCAGTGGTAAAGCCATCCGTAAAGCCAAGATATTTTTGGCAAAATGTCAAAAGGTATTCTCAACAAAATGAAAGTGAATTGTTTTTCGTAATCCTCTGGTAATGACGAACCAGTTTCGAAGTGCAAAAACACCCATTGTTAATCACCAATTGTTTATAGGTCCATCTATAAACGGAGGTTTCCCAAGTCATGGGGGCACCCCGAAATCATCCAGTCGTCATGGATGACCATGACTTAGGAAGCCTGTGGTGACTTGGGGGATCCCCACTTAAGAAACCCCATTTATCAATGCTATCGCCATGAATTGTCATTGTGATATTCCATATTTTGGTAGTTAAATCCCGATCAAATAACCAATCAACGCTAGGCCCATTGGAGTGTTGACTGAAAATTCCCATTCATATTCCCATCAATATCTGCTAGTGATTATCCAGAATATCCCATGAATATTCCCATGAATATCCCATATCCCATTGACACCTCTACATTTTCCAGCGTTTTTGTGGATAAAAAATCATGCGCCAAAGGTTTGGAAGATGCTGGGGCAGCTCCGCATGCTGAAGCAGGGCCTGCAGGACGAACGCAACGAAAGATTTTTTCCGTCATTTTCAGACATACCCACATTATCCCACATTGACATGGAGATATACTGGGTATATAACCAATGATGATGATCTGATTCATGGTGTCCTAAAAGATAAAAAAAAAAAGCATTGCTTACGTGGAAACGTGCTGAAAATCTAGTTTTAGATTATCTCAGATGATGACGAATTATTTGTTTGAGGTTCAAAGCACAAGGGACTCGTTCAAGACTATTTTGCCCCTGTTCCTATAGTGTTATGTATTCATGTATAGATATATTATATATAATATACACAAAGTAATATACAGTATATACATATACATGTATACTATGTATGTATATATGTATGTGTGTGTCATGCAAATATATATATATATGTGCTATACACACATATATGTATGATATTAATATACATGCATATATATATATATATATACGCAGAGCCTTGAAACATCTTTTTCTATACCTGCAAGAAATTGCATGTTCTTGGGAGGGATACACAAATCACCACCAAAAGTGTTGTGGATACCAAAGGTGATTTCACCACCAGTGGATAAATCTTGAGGACCCCAATCCTCGAATGCAAATGTTGATGTTTCCCAAACGGTGATGCATTGCATTTGCGAAGGATTTATCGGGTATTGTAAAGCTCCTGAGATAGGGCACATTAAGAAGATGTGTTATATTCATTTATCCTCTATTTGCAGAAGTTGTTTCTCCAGCTATAAAGCTGCCATTTTTAGATATTTTTAGGGGATTTCCCAGATAGAGGTGTTTGATGACACCCAAGGGTCTTCATGTATCCTCCCGTGAAAAGGTAACGAGGGCGACGACCACCACCACCACCACAACAACAACAACAAGCGGTGAAACGAAGATAATGGCAGTGGTCACATCATCGACGACTCTTTCAGCAAAAAAAACTAAAACTAGAGTTCCACTGAAAATTCTATGAGCTTACCTTCAGATATATATCATTCAAGAGTTTGCGTTTCCTCATGTTATCCTTTCCAATGTGCCCCCGTCGGTCAGTCCTCCAGGAGATTTCTCAGCAAATTGGCCAGCGAAGGGGGGCAACGACCTGAGGATACCACCCAGGTGGCACGTTGATGGGAGGTTTTTGAAGCCAAGTGCTGCAGAAAAATGCATAACAGGTGGCGTCATGAACAGGTGGCGAACTTCGTATTTATCTAATCTCATCGAATTTCCCTAGAAAAGATGTTCCATGATATTCCTATCCAGAAATTATGGGTGAGATGTTCTGGTTGGATCACGAAACATTGATGTTTTGGTGTTCAAGGTGATCCTCCCCTTATCAGACAGACCCCAGCCTGACACCGGGGGATTGTCCCAATGTTCCACTTTCCACTTATCCATTGATACATATACATATACTGTATACATACATACATACATGCATGCATACATACAGACAGACAGACAGACGGACGTACAGACGTACAGACGTACAGACGTACAGACGTACAGACCGACAGACAGACGTACAGACGTACAGACGTACATGTGTACAGACGTACAGACGTACAGACGTACAGACGTACAGACGTACAGACGTATACAGACCGACAGACAGACGTATACAGACCGACAGACCGACAGACCGACAGACCGACAGACAGACAGACAGACAGACGTACAATGACATACCGACGTACAGACGTACAGACGTACAGACGTACAGACGTACAGTCGTACAGACGTACAGACGGACAGACGTACATGCGTACATGCGTACATGTGTACAGACGTACAGCGGTACAGACGTACAGACGTACAGACGTACAGACGTACAGACGTACAGACGTACATGGGTACATGCGTACATGCGTACATGCGTACATGTGTACATGCGTACATGCGTACATGTGTACATGCGTACATGCGTACATGCTTACATGCATACATGCGTACATTACATTACATTACATTATAACATTACATAACATAACATCTACATACATTTACATACATTTACATACATATACATACATATACATACATATACATACATCATACATACATCATACATTTACATACATACATACATACATACATTCATACATTCATACATTCATACATTCATACATTCATACATTCATACATTCATACGTACATACGTACATACGTACATACGTACATACGTACATACGTACATACGTACATACATATGTTTTTGTGGGGAGGAGGTACTTCTCTCGTAAAAGTTATATGTTTGAGGGTCAAGATTCCCGTTGTCCCATCGCCGTTCAAAACATGCCATCAACGCGTGCTCATCCGATGCCTTCGGAAATACCGCCCAGCCTGGCTGGAATTGCTGGCCGTGATGTGTTTGTGATTGCACATGCTGGCTGTCATCTTTACTTTGCAGAGGTACATGCATGTTTAATACGTATTTGTTATGTATTATGCACGCGTTGTACAATGTAGTGACTTGGTGGGTACATACAACTGCATTGTCATGGAAATCAATGTTCCAGCCCACGGAATTCGCGGCTGCGTTTCCCACCTACCAGCTGCGGACAAAAAAGTCCTGTTTCTTGCGGCGGGATCACAGCAGAGTTGATATGTTTGGATTCCCAGTATCATTATGGGATTGAAACATCGAAACCTATGTTTAGAAGAGTTGAACCTGTGCTTTTTGCTGGGGAAAAATTGCACTGCCTTTGAAAACAGGTATTGTTTTGACCAGAATGCATCGAACAGGCACGGGTTAAAGTCCCTGCGGGCCAGCATCAGTGCATACAGACTTCAGTTGCAACCCGTTAATATTGGTTAAGCTGGGAACCCATCATGGCGGCCATGTCTGAACTGAACGGCGGAGATGGCCTGGAAACCAGGTCGGTGCAATAGAAGCATCTGGATCACCTGGTTATCAAATACATCTTGAAATTTGTTCAGAACGGAAAAAATTGAGGTATATTTATGTTTTCCCCACCATTGGCTTGAATATAGCTTAGTCCCCCACAAATCCCTGTCCCCTTGCTCAATGTTGTTGGAGCCTGATGCAAACCGCGCCATCACTGCAGCCTGTTTCCAGGTCGGAAGAGGTTCAAAAAAGAGATAAGGAAGTCAGCAAAGAAGTCACACTTCGTTACTTTCACGACCACGACAGTACCACGACAAAAAAATACCAAAAAACGAACCAGTCGTCTAAATCATCGTCCACGACTCGCGCCGGCATCGGTGGGTCCGCTCTTCCAGAGCGGTCCGTGGCACATCCTGGCTGGTCAGCCGCTGGTTTCTCGGAAACGGTCAGAACCATCCCAAAATGATGGGGGGCGGGTTACTCAGCAAGTGGTAGGTTTAAAAGTTCAATTCTTGTTTATTTACATACATATATTTGGTGTGCCACATTGTGGAGAATGCATTTGAGCCATTGTTGTCGAATTTTGTCGCAAAATTCTCCAGCAAGATCCAAAATCAAACCCTGAATCAAATCCAATCCAAAGATCCCAGCCCCTTCATATCCAAATAAATGATAGCAAAATCAGAAATCCAGACAACATATCCAAAAATCCAGAATCAGAGATGTTCCACCCCCCATGAACATTGCTGGTGAAATCATTTTCAATCCCCCATTTTGGCTGGTAAATCCACAGGGATTGTCCTCGCTCAAGGTTTCCACCCCTCTCATTATTCTAAGAGGCGCGGGTCCCCGCCATCCAGGAGGTTATCCAAATGG